GTTCACAAGAATCTGTCCGATATAAAGAGATTCCGGTATATACACGTCCGGTATAAACAGGTTTGACTGTAGTAATAATTTTTACATTTGTGTAACAATTGTTGTAGCGCGATGATGATGTGGCTACTTAGTCGATCAGTGTGGCTTACACCATCTGTGGCGTGATGCATCACTAATCTTGAAACGCAAGTTCATTGGTGGAACAACCAGCAATAGAATAAAAGGTTCAGCCCACAGAACATAAATCCTCATCTGAAGTTTTCCCAAACTAATACAAGGACCTTTGCTTCCTCTCTGGAGCATATTTATAGCCTCGATAACAAGCACATAGTTTAATTTATCATCAAGCTTCCGCAATGGCTACCAGAGTTTACATCGGTCGTCTTCCAAGGGATGCCCGTGAACGGGACGTTGAGAAACTGTTTCGGGGCTATGGAAATATCAGGGAAATCAAACTTATGAATGGCTTTGGCTTTGTGGAGTTCCGTGATCATCGTGACGCCGACGATGTTGTATATACCTTCAACGGCAAGACCTTTTTGGGTGAGAAGTGAGTAGCTTTGGCGGGAAAGATATTCCGAATATAAATTATCGAATTGATATTGCAATTATATATACATATGATACTAGATAGTATATTAATATTGTTGTGTTGTGTCCTTGATTATTAATATCCATAGATTGATTGTCGAATATGCTCGTGGCGAGCGACGACGTCGTGATCGGGATGACCGTAGAGACAGAGACAGGGACGATCGCAAATACAAGGATAAGGATAGGGATGATCGTCGCCGGGACGACCGCGACCGCGATCGTGGTGGGAGGCATGTTGCACCAGTCCTGGAACAGTTATTCCTTTTCCTCCTCCTTAGTTTATATTATGAATTGAATTTACATATTGTTATATTTGCGTCTTTTTTTGTTACATCAATTAAACGTTCTGTCTACTTCCATCTAATAGTCGGTTTGCTCCGCCTCAGAGAAATCCGCAGTACCGGTTGATTGTCGAGAACTTATCCTCAAGCTGTAGCTGGCAGGTATGCAACAATCTTCCATCCATCCTCCATATGCGTGCCGCCTGCAGCTCCCTGCTATGTGGCTGGCTTCTTGGTCTCTCGCTCCCCTATGGTTTCTACTAAGGATTACATGGATCCTGGATGCTCCTTTGCGACTATTCTGCTGTTTGTGGCGTCTATGATTGAATGAGGTCTTGGATCTGACTGTATTCTCGTTGATTATGCACATGTACTTTTATATGGCTGAGATGCTTTCTATTTATATTCTGAGAGGTTGACTATGACCTATGCAGATTATAGTTAACGATTTTGTGATGACAATGGATATTTAAGGATATTAGTTTACTATGTAATGGAAATGGCATATAGACGCAGTGTGCACCTCGAATATTTAGAAGATGGAGCTTTAATAGTATAATACTCGACTACATTCATAGACCTGCCAATGGTATCTACGTTGAGTTTTGACAGGGTGCTTTTTTTGGTCATCCTGTCTGATGTACCCGGGTGGCACCGCGTGATAATAGTAAATGGAGCACACAATCCGGGGAACCTGTGTCCGAATCGTGCGTTTACTCTGACTCAAATCAAACACTCCACTCCACCTTCATCCCTGTATCATTCTATATAAGGATTTGAAGGATTTGATGCGCAAGGCAGGCGACGTCACATTTGCTGATTGCCATAAAGACCGCGAAGGAGAAGGGTGAGTAGACGATGAACGACTATTGCGATAAACGATATGCGATATTAGGAATATGCTGTCTATGCTCACATAATGTCATACGTCTGTTTATAACTTTCAGTATTTTATAATACTAACATTGATTTTTTCGTTTGCAGTGTCGTTGAATTCTCCTCATATGAGGACATGAAGGCAGCGTTAAGGAAGTTTGATGACACTGAACTGAAAGGAAAACATATTATTCTGCGCGAGGCTCCTGTAAGTAATAGATTACCTAGTTATACGAATGACACGATTGTGCTATATGTATGAATTTTTAGCAATAGTTGCTTGTACTTATAGTAATATTCTACTTGCTTTATTCAGGATAACGACACTGAGCGCGATCGTCGTGGACGTCGATCTCGATCTCGATCTCGATCGCCAGTTCGTCGTAATAGTCGTCGCTCATTATCTCGATCTCCTTCTCGTCGTGGACCTCGTCACTCTCGTAGTAGGTCAAAGTCGGGAGGTCCCAATGGCAAGGAACGCGGATCTCGATCGTCGTCTCCTCGACGTCCCCGTGAAGAGTCCCCTAGTCCGAAGAGAAGTCAATCCAGAAGCAGTGACGGCAATCGTGAAGATGACAAGTGAGGATGACTGGAATATGGAGGCCACTGGCTAGGTACGACGTTTATATTTATAAACTTATATCGAACACGCCGACCGTTTAATTGATTGTGCTCATTGTACCTGTAGAGTCTCCGTTCTCTGTCGGCCAACTCAATTTAACTATAATATAACATTAAGATATTAAACTAACTATAGTTTGAATGCGATAGAGATGTTTTATTGGGTTCGTTTATTATATTATTATATCTGATAATATATCACTTTATATCCACATATTTCACGTGATAATTTTAATGTGACGTTTTAATAACATTTCACTGGTATTGTGTTACGTGGCTTTACTGTTGTGTTACAGCATTCAACCACTCGCTGCCCAAGTGGGAATTGCTTTGCACTAAAATTTCAAATTTTTGTTACAGAAGATTGCCAGAAATGAGGTTTAATCAATGTATATTGTGTTACATTCTATAATCCACTCCTTGTATTCGGTACCAAGTAAGAATGCAAGGATTACTTATTATGTTTCTGGGGTTTAATTGGTACCATCTTTGATTGAACTTCTATTAGAAACATGCATTTCTCAATTCCACCGTTCTTGGCTTTTCTCTCTTTCGTGTAGAATACTTCATTAACCTCTCCTTTAGCAGTCTGCAAGATATCTTGCAACTCGCCCTTCTGAGCGCGTGGGTTCTTCCTACATGCTGTCATTCAGCTATCAGACTCGCTTTCCTTTCCCTCTCCCTCATCCAACACTCCACTCTCCATAAACACAACTAGGGAGCATTGACAGTAGAATACCTACTCTTACCTGCGCTGTTCTCTTCCCTTCCTACAACCACTACATTCATTCTATCAATTCACTCATTAATTCATTCATTAGTAAACGCATTATTTTTCAAACCTTTCTATCAATAGACTGACTGTATTTCTTTCAAACTACAAAAAGAAAGCATTTATTCGTTAATAGACGAAGAACAATCTTGGTTTTTCTAACGAATAATATTAATTTATACGTATCATAATAAAATGTTGAATAAACTAACGGGTGTATCCATAATGTTGGTAGTTGTGGCCGGCATATGTTTGCTGGCGTCGGTACAAGTCGGCGAAGCTTTTGGAATTATATCAAGCAAACGATACAGAATAAGTGGGCCGGGCCCAGTAATGAGAAGATCTTTCAAACTCCATCGTCGTATTCCTTTACCCGATACTGCAACTTCTGACAGCCCCACAAGCGCGACCGACAGCCCAACAACTACAAGTAAAGACACATCGGCCGAATCTACCAACAGCGACGCTACCGACAGCCCTACGAGTACGGGTGACAACAAATCAACCGAAACTACCAGTAGTGACACTACAAGTAAAGGCAGCCCAACCGAATCTACCAACAGCGACGCTTCTGACAGCCCTACGAGTACGGGTGACAACAAATCAACCGAAACTACCAGTAGTGACACTACAAGTAAAGGCAACCCAACCGAATCTACTAATACTGACACTACCGATAGTCCTAGTGACAACAAATCAACCAGTAGTGACACTACAAGTAAAGGCAACCCAACCGAATCTACTAGTACTGACACTGCCGATAGCCCTACGAGTACAAGTGACGACAAATCAACTGAAACTACTTCCGCTTCGTCGGCGAATAATGATGCTGCTGCCAAAAAACCAACTGAAACTACCAGCAGTGACAGCCCTACGAGTACAAGTAAAGACCAACCGACCGAATCTGCTAGTAGTGACACTACCGATAGCCCTACAAGCACAACTGACAAATCAACTGAAACTACCAGTAGTGACAGTACCGACAGCTCAACGACTCCAAGTAAAGGCAAACCAACCGACGAATCTACTAGTACTACCGATAGCTCTACAACTACCGATAGCTCTACAACTACCGATGACAGCAAACCAACGCCGCTACCTTTGGTGGGAAGTATCACCCCACCCGCCGCCGAAATTACCCCGTCCGATGTTCACACTACTGAGTCATCTTCAGACAAGTCTGCGGACAAACCTACAGAGACGTCCACCGCAGAGATTACGCCCCCACCCGCCGCCGAAATTACCCCGTCCGATGTTCACACTACTGAGTCATCTTCAGACAAGTCTGCGGACAAACCTACAGAGACGTCCACCACAGAGACGTCCACCACAGAGACGTCCACCACAGAGACGTCCACCACAGAGACGTCCACCACAGAGAAGACCACGTCGAGCCCCGACTTGCCACCTCCTGTGACACCCACAGCTCCCACGGGCTCCCCTACGCAAACAACTACTCCAGTAGGTGCTTCGCCTAATGATAATAGTCAAACTACCCCCACGACGATGGAGGGGCAATCTCCAACCGAATCTCCTTCAGATAATAATTCCAATACAAATGGATCAACGCCATCATCATCTACAGATATTGCGGACGCACCTTCAACGAGTATACTTGACGTTCCCACTGTTGGTATCCAGTTGCCGCCACCACAGCCTGGGGTTGAAGTGACTCCTGTAGCTACGGATTCTAATTTCCCAGATATTATTATCCCCGCAGGCAATGTAGAACCGCCGGGTAAATAACAATAACTATGCTAATAATTATTATCGGATTTTTTTCCAATAGATGTGTTGCTAATTTATCTTATTTTTTTCTAGAGGACGGCGTTACAATACAATTGAAATTCACTACCATTAGTTGGGCGGACCTTCAAAGTAATGGAATACTGGCTTCTCAAATTGCTGTACTGTTACCCCAGGATATTGCTAATGCTATCGACATATCAGCAAGTGCCATAATAGTTCTTTCAGAAAATAATGTTAATGGAGCTATCGTGTTGAAACTTTCTGTTCCCGGGGGAAGTTTTGATAATGTGAAAAGTGCTATTAGCAATCCCACAAGTAAGTTATATACCAATGGTTCAACACTTACTCAGTACTTGGATCCAACGTTCCCACTCAACGCAAATTCAGGTATGTGCGCCATTCGTCAATTTCTAATGGTTGAAAGGTAATTAAAGCAGGGCGCTAATCATCAAAAGAATTTCTCCCTTTTGCATACAGTTGCCAGTACTGGTGTTACAGATCCGAACAATGGTGGAAACTCTAATGCAGATATCTCTAGTGGAAGTGATACCCCAAGTTCCAACATCATAAACGACAATGCCAACGCAGGGTCTGGTCACAGAGCCCTGATGGTAGTCTTGGCTGTCGGACTTTCTACGTTCTTATATGCTGGACTAACTGCACTTGTAATTCGAGCGTACAAGAGGAACAAAGCTCGTGCTGGTCACCGCCAAACTGATTACATGTACGGTCCGGCTATTGCATCACCTATGATGCGTGAGACTGTCCTGACTTGATATAGAGATGCTTTGCAGACAAAAAAGAATCAATCACGGGGTTTATTTATGATTGAAAAAGTCATTGACGCTTTAACCTGGATACTCGTTACAATTATCTTGTTAATAGTTCATAATTGCCCATATTTTATTTATTACGTAAATTATAATACTAGATCCTAATTAGAAGGCTGTCCAGCATATCGAGGCTTTTAGAATCAATTGAGCCTCTACAACGGACAGATCTAAAGAAGTCAGCTACAATGAATGTGCCATTGTATAAATTAATCCGAAAGTCATTGTATTTCTTGCTTACCAGTGCTGATATTTGTATTCTACACGAGATGGTCAACACCGTAAATAAAACGCAGATTGCCAAAATTGTTCTGCTTATTCGTTTTTATCTGGACCTGGACACAAATATTGTGTTATAAGTTAAAAAGGAAGGATGAAGAACCTTAGTACATGTGTCAATGCAATTACCGTGAAAATGTAGCACATCTTATAGATAATATGTACGCTATATTATTCAATAGTCACCGACTGTCTTATATTATTTTCAATATCGGCATCGTGGGAAACGAGCATCCCATTTTTTACATGAGCATGACTTCAGCAAAATTAATTATCCATATTTATTGCAAGTAGATGTGCGACCGAGACAAGTAATATGTGATTACTCGATTGGGGCAAAACAGGTTCGCAGTCGCGAAAAAGCAATGATAATAACGACAATATTAAGGTACATAGTGAACGAAGAAAAGAGTTTTAATGCTCATTTATATAAAAAGCTATCGGCTCTTTCGATCTTCCTTCCGCGGAGTGTGCTACGGAAAAAAAAGTGGTTGTTAAATATGAATTTTAAAAACATTCATGTTATGCTTCAACAACATAATGGATGGGGTTTTTTATGCCACATTAATTTAAATTTGCCTACTGCACAGATTGTTTATGCAACTGGCAATAAGATTTATAGTCCCCGGCGAAAATAATGGTGGGCCAGTGTTTTTTCTAAATTATCGATATTATTTTTAAAAGGCTTTTTGTTTAACAGAAGTTCAAGACTAATATTATAACTTGCAAAAGAATCAAGATAAATAGTGGCTTTCTTTTAGGTTTATTGACAAGCAGATCAACTGGATTATATCAGGCAAAAATGGTCTAAATTTGAATTAACAAGTCTAAAAACGCAAACATCTTATAGTAATACAAATGGCTCTCGATATAAGAAAGTGATCGGGACCCAACAAATTCCTTTCTTATATCGAAAATCTCTTATAACGAGAGTCATTTGTTATGAGATTTTAAATCGGGTCCAGCAAAAATACTTTCTTATATCGAGAGCCACTTGTAGTAGATTTGAGACAGCTATTATAAGTTTATAGTCTATCCAAATCAAACCAAGATTATTACAAATATAAAGACAAGACTATTAAACGTGCCTGACGTATTAATATTAAGTAAATAAAAAAGGTTTACATATTAATATTATTATAATAACAGATAACCGATTTTTGTATTAGAAATAATTGCCGCCATTATTTTCGCCGGGAACTGTACGTAATAGTAATTGTGGAATTATCTTATTTGACAGAGGGCTAAAGCCTTTATTTTATGAGGAGAGAATATATATTGGACTTGCAGAATGCGTTTGTGGGGTGTTTTGTACATGGCTACAAGTAGGGAAGCTTTGTAGGGATTGCAAATAGACTATTTAAGACTAGTTTCCTGTGACTGGTTCTCTTCGAAACGGTTCTCCGCGCTAGTTTCGGCGTCACTAAAGTTTAGTTTTTTTTTTCAACATCTCGAATCGGTTATTATCTTTATTAGGAGCGTTTCAAATGACCCAAGCGTCTGCAATTATTACTAAGTAATAGTAGTTATATTTAAAGACAATACGAATAATTTCGGGTTCTAATTATTATTATACACGCTCCATGATGGATAAACGGGATGGAATTTCCTCATAACGGTCAATGTGGTGAGGGAATCGTACGGCAGTAACCCAGAATTTCCTCACACGAGTTTCTAACTAATAAATTTTGCTCAAAAACGCTGCACGCTTCACTTGAGACCTGAAAAAATATCGTCAAACCATATGGAGAAACAATGATCAGTTTTAGTCACTAAATTCTCTTATGACAGAAGATGGTCTGAAAATATCCGAGTTATAAAGAGATCCCATTAACAAATGCGTGATGACAAACGTCATTACAAACAAAATGGGCGCACAATCTAACTACTATGAAAACGCCACTTAACATAACAGTAAAAAGACGCAGTGTGTGCGACAGAGGATTGTCTTATTTATACTAGCTTGTTCTACGCTCGCTACTGCTCCTCGTTCATATAACATGTTCTCTGAGAATCTGCACTTTTTTGAGAAATTAAGTATTTTCTTGATAGAAACAAAAATACCCCATGAAAAGATCAAATTTCTTAAAAATACTATTTCTCTAAAAGGTGGTTTTATTGTAACGAACCCAAGCACGGCAGATGTAATCTTGACTATACTGAAATCACCAGCTAGAATTAGTCGATACATTGGTAGTGAAACACGTAAACCAATAGTGTCTATTGAATGGGTTGACAAATGGTATGCGTTTTTCAGAACCACGTTCACCGAACATTTACCATATTGATATGTGACGTGTCTTTTTATCGAAGTGTGAGCAAAGGCGCTCGTATAGAATTTGTAGATTATCTTATAAGGGGTATAGAAGAAGATGCAATGGATTGGACTACTGTAGAGGAAGAGGAAGAGGATCAGGATCTATTTGATGAAGACAGTAATAGTTCAAGTAGTCGGTAAGCATTAATTATTCTTGCAGATGATCATAAACTTGATCACATTACTTGTTCATATTAGATCGCCCATTTACACAAGTGAGAACGAGCATTCGGATGATGGTCGAGGTCAGTAGTGACAATTTTTTGGTGACGTTGTCAAGCGCAAACGATAAGTTGTTTGAGATAGTTTTGTGCTATTTGTTAATGTCAACATTCTTATGCAGATGTCGATTTGGATCCTCGATTCTTGAACACTTCGTATGAATGTTTGCGACCTACTCCACTGAAGCCTAAATTTAATGCCAAGCTTGTTGAATTGTTGGAAGTAATAGAAAGAGCAAGGGAAGTGAACGATCAGTGGAGGAACGCACTGAGTTATCGACGTGCAATAGCAGTACTAAAAGTAGGTTCAGCTCACCTATTAGTTTTATTTGATGTTTTGTTTTTGCAAGCTCCTTGATTAATGCATTTATTCTGGATGTAGTCATATCCTCGTGATATCATTAGCCACAAGGAAATAAAAAAAATAAGAGGTAGAACGGATGGACCAAGTGAATGTCGCGATATGGACTAGTGATCATAATTCTGTAAAATTTTAGGTATTGGGTCCAAAATTGGCTATCAGATAGAGTCATATCTCAGAACTGGAACGATTACAGAGGCCGAGCACATTCTTCAAGACAAGAGATTTCATACACTGGAATTATTCGCCAGTATTTTTGGTATTATCAAGTTCCAATTTGACTCTTCGCGTGTTACATCACTAACTATTTGTGACTCCCAGGTGTTGGCTTCAAGACGGCTTTATCGTGGTATCGTAAAGGATATCGCACAATAGAGGATTGCAAGAATCATCCGAATTTAACTAAGGCTCAACAGCTTGGACTACAGCTATTTGACGATCTTCGGGAAAAGTATTCGTCATACATTTTATAATGTGTTGATATAAATATTATTCAGAACGTTACCTCAAAATTCACCGTTCTCAAAACGCAGAATGAGTCGAGAAGATGTCGAGGAAATTTATAACATTATCAAAGAAAACGTAAAAAAATTAGACCCAGGATGTGTCCTACAGCCTGTTGGTGGGTACAGACGCGGTAAAGAATTGAATGGTGATTTAGACCTTATAATCTCACATCCCGATGAGGAACGTGTTCCATCTTTGCTGAACGACGTGATCACAACCCTAACGGAAGGCGGTATGCGCTATCATTCGCTGGTTTGTATATATTTGCAATTACTCAATTTACCTTTCAACAGGTTATATTAAGAATCTGCTATACCGTGCACGGAGCGAATCGAGAACCGGTATTATAGATCATCTGGAGAAGGTACAAACGCTCCCTATTGATTCTTTCTTATAGTTTATTAACAACGGCGATTGGTGTATACATCTTCGGTATAGTGTTTTGTTGCTTTCTTACAACCAAGTACTCAAATCAAGCGACAAGTCGACTTCATCATTGCAACGCAAAGTCAATTTGCATCTGCATTGGTCGGTTGGACTGGTAAGCTTAATAACACCAACCTTCATAAAGTATAAAGAGGAGAATTGATTTATAAACTCATCGTCTATGTAAAACAAAATAGGTTCACGACAATACGAAAGGAGCCTCAGGAGATACGCGAAAAGGGTATCATAGTGCAAAATACACTTTGTTGTATGTTTAGTCTATGCCATTCCTTATTCACATTCCAATAACCGTTTCTAGGAGAAAAAAATGGTTTTCGCCTCTCATGGACTATTCACAAATACCAAGCCACGCATACTAATTCCTACATCAACTGAGAGAGAAATATTTGATATTCTTGGTGTGCCTTGGCTAGAACCAGAGATGCGGAATTGCTGAAATTTTTATTATATACTCTTTTCAAAGAATATACTACTATTGACAGTTGGCACTAATACCCAAACTGGCCAGCATTGTCAGGGAATTGTTCAATTGTTGCTGCAGAAAAAGACAATAACAAATTTACATAAAGTACAATGTTTTTCTGAATCGCAATAGGATAATGTCGTGTAATCTATTTATCTGTCTGTTGTGATTCTCCTGATATAACTGCATCTAATGGAGGAGTCAGTAACTCTTCAGCAGGAGACAACACCATTCTTTCCATGGCAGTCAACAACCTGTTGGGGGAAGGTGGCTTTTTTGAAGGAAATAGTGATTCTGTCATGCATATTGGGGAAGCGGATTCGTCAATAGGAGTAAACGCTCGTCCGGACGAAATGTCATCCGGAGAAGCCGAAAGCTTATCGCCTGAGCATATTCTTTCCTTCGTCGATGGAATATCGACAGGGTCTGTTTGATGTCTTGGAAGAACGGCCTGCGTTTCTAATGTATCGTCCAGTCTGCTTATGGCGGGCACAGTCTTTCGAGCAGGTTGATAATCAACGCCAACTCCCTCGGCAACCACGTCTACCCTGACCTTTGATCTACCAACCATGGATTCTAAACTGACAACGCCACGAATTTCTCCGACTTCTTTAGGTCGGAAAATGACAGGAAGCATGATAGTTCCTTTCGCTTTGATTGTTAGGCTAGGCATCGACACAGATAATATATTGTGACCTTTCTGAGCTGACGATGTTACTTCACATTTACATCTGAGTCTAACGGCTACATTAGTCGGGTTCTCTATCCTAATAGACACAGTTCTCGTCTTTCCAACTCTGGTCATTGGTATTTTCACTTCTTTATTCGATACATCAAACTGAAGACGCTTATTATCCTTCCCGATGGGTGGAGGTGCTCTAGCTTCCTTTCCATCGCCGGATATTTGTAGGACCACGCCGGCGTTTCCTCCAGAACCTACCTCAGTTTCAGCTGTTGAGGAGTCTTCTAAGATAAATCCTTGAGAATATGAGCCAACGTTCACTGGGCGGAAGGCGACCTCCACTCGTTCGGACTGCCCTGGTCGTAGGAAACCACTCGATTTGTTGAGAACAAATATGTTTTCGTTAACCTTTATTCCAGTTGAGGCCCGAGACTCTGCACGTTTAAATACGGGTTTTGCAGTTGGTATTATATCCCAAGTAACTGGCTTGTTAATATGATTGTAAACATGAAATATTCCTTTGGTCGTTTGAAATTGTGCAGTTGTTGGTACAGTGATAATGCCGGCGACGCCTATGTAAATGAGGTTTTTTTTCTGTGCTAATTCCCTAACGGCTTTTTGTTCTTCGACAACCACCTGTTCAAGACTTTGCTTATCTACGTCTTCAAAATTCTTTTCTTCAGTCGCCATTATTGCTTACACGCTATACCGTTATTTTATTTTTTAATTAATTACACTTTATATCCCTGAGATGCTGTGAAACCATGCATTGAGGCTTGATCACGAGCTCTTGAGAATCAGGAATTAAAATGTGGTGTTAGTGTGTTGATTTAAAATCTTCGAACTATGTTGCTGGTAATTAAAATTCAAGCCACTATTTAAACAAAGACATCAACATTTATTAAACAACAACAACAATCTAACAAACGTTAAATCGATGGGAAGTTCAGGAGGGCAATTTTCGATTGATATTTGACTGGTCAATTTTCGTACCAAATCTTTCGTGCTTAATGAGGAATGTATTAGTATTTCGTTTAGATTGGAAATATTATAATAAAGGACTTTTATTATCAGATCGATTGGACTTTTGAATTTCTAACTGATTGAACTTGTTATATCGGAACTTGAGGGGACTGACCCTTGACGATGGAATTCTATTCATACTTGTAACCAAAGAAGGATTTGCCGATTCTCAAAAATCCGACTCATTTTCTTTTTGGCACAACAATGGCGAATCTGCCGCACCTAACACAACTTCATGCATCAGACCGAGCAAGTTCCTAATACTAACTATCACGCCTGTTGTGTTTAATATGTTTATCAATCTTTTTTTTCCAATTAGCGGACTTTTCGTGAAAAAGTAACGTTACGAAATAACTACTTCCCCCACTCTTACTGTTATAATTCATTTTCACAGCATTCGAATATCAATTATTCTGAATTTGTTTGATAAAACCCTTAACATAAAGTTCATGCTATACTGCCTCAGCTTTATGACATGCGATGAAAATCAGGTGAATAACTTCTGATCGCGTGCTGACAAGAGGTCAAAATAGTAATATGTCCGTAACCATCCAGGAATTTAGATAGGAAATACTTGACTATATAATTTGGCTACGAGAGAAGATGGGGATTTTTGAATCATTCAGTGGTTGAAAGGCGCTTTACTTGCACAAAAAGATAATAACCAGGGTATCAACTTAGTCGAGCCTTGTTATACCGAAGGAATTCTGGCTCCCCCGTTTTTTAAATAATAAAATTCCCTCGTTATAACGAAGTTACGTGTAATAGTAAAATCTCGTTATACCGTTACCGAAGCTCGATGCAGGATTTTTACATAGGCTACTAATACTAATCGCAATATCCGCATATTACAGTACAGGTCAAACCTGTTTAAACCGGCGGACCTGGTTTGCCGATTCTTGGCCGGTTTAGCTAAGGACCGGTTCAACTAGAGAAAGTTTCTAATTAATGAAAGTTTGGTGTAGTCTTGAGGCGGCCGGTTAAGCCCGAGACCGGTTTAATCAGCGCCGGTTTAAACAGATTTGACCTGTATTAAGATTTTTAATAGTATGATTTCAGCTGTCATATTTGTGTGCCAATATTTTGATCGTATGATTTCAGCCGTATTTCATATCTACTATTTAAATTCAGTAATCATGTTTATGATGCAATTTTTGGTCATACGGTTAATTCTGAGACGCAAATATAATTAGGGAAATAATTTTATAATTAACAAATGGCTATATAAACAATGAGAGTTCCATCTTTTCAATTGTGACATACTCCCAACAATTGATCAATAAATGTCTCAACAAACCAAACAACGTAACATTATTTCGGCGCCAAAAAACATTGATCTTACAAAACAATTTCGAATTAGTTCAGCCTAGTCACGGATATTTTGAAAATTCTGCTAAATGGCTCGCAATCGACCCGAATTCTTATCAAGCAAAATTGGAAAAAAACAAAAACAACGCGTTTCCCGAATTTGTCAAAAGTTGAAGAAGCACTAATTATTTGGATTAATTGGATGTAATTTAACAATTACAGGCTCCCTCATTCAACAAAGAGCTTTACAATTTGCAGGGCTGTTAGGAACAACAGATTTTAAAGCATCATCCGGTTGGCTTGAGAAGTTTAAAAAGAGGTATTCTATTAGTGTATTCAATTGACATGGCGAGTCTCAAAGTGCACCGGTTAAAAAGATTCCAGAAATGAGAGAAGACTTGAAGGCCGTCATTAAACAGTATCAACCAGATGATGTTTTTAATTGTGATAAAACAGGTCTGTATTGGAAGATAGAGATTATCGACGGGACCTTTGTCAAGAACAAAACAAAGACAGAATTACCATTTATTAACTCCATTATTTATTTATAAATACCAAAACCCACGTCCATTGAATGGAATTATTATTACTGGAATAGCAAAGCATGGATGCAAAATTCAATATGGAATAATTATTTAAAAAAAAAAATAGATAACAAAATGCGTAGAGCAAATCGGAATACAGTCGTCCCCCCTCTATAGTCACGCTGTCGGGAACAATGCAACTTTTGTTATAAAGAGGTTGTGACTATGTAGAGGTTTTTTCTATAAGTTTAATAGTAATTGGTTCTCAACATGGTGTGCTTATAAAGAGGGTTTTTATATTGTGTGCTTATAGAGGGGGTTACTGTAGAGGGGGACGACAGTATATTGATGTTACATAGTCAAACTCGATAAGATAAAGTCGACGGGCTGGTGGTATCGGTTTAAGCTATAGAGGTTTTATTTTATCGA